GTTGGGTTGACGGTTGGACTCGATGATCTTAGAGGTCTTTTCCAACCTCAATGATTCTATGATTCTATTCTATGAATATTGCAATGGCCAGATGAGCTGTAAGAGTTTCTCTGCCACGTCTCACGGGCAAGCAGCAAAGCTTTTAAGACAGCCAGTCTGGCTGCTGTGCAGAAGCCTTCGTCCCCCTGGGAGACTGCAATTACTGTCACCCATTGCTTCCTTTTAGTGACATTGCTGTGACCCATGGATCAGGCTAGATGCCAAATGTGACAGAACTTGTTCCTCCTCACCTCCTTCCTGGGCTTCGTGCCTTTTCAGCACCCGAATAGCTACTGATGGAAAAAGAGAGCCCCCTTCCTGTTGCTGGAGGTCACAACTTCCAGCCTCCCTTGTCCTAGGAGTCCTCATCCTAGCCCTGAGTGAGGAAAGCAATAGATTTGGTAGAAGGTGGTCATGGGGCACGGGAAGAGTTAATTCAGGGAAAAGAACTGTTCACAACTTTGTTCAGGAAAGCAAACTGTGGAAGCTTTTAACTGGGTTAAGAGAATAGCTGTATCATGAATTTCTGCTTATGAAGATTGTTGAAGGAACCTGACTTGGATCATAAAGGGTGTCAGGTGATGAAGAAAGCTGATGTTCTTTTTACATGAAGATACAAGTAAGACAAATAAGTAACAGAAGTAATTTATTAGAGGTAAAGGGAGTTTGACAGATTGGGACATTGCAAGTTAATAGAGCCAATGGTGTTTCTTTTCAGTTTGGAGCTAGAAAGTCAGGGCTCAAGTAACAGTAGTTTTGAAAGGTAGTTTGGAATCAAGGAGGCAATCAGCCACCAAGAGACACAAAAAAATATGTAGAATTAATTTAGAGCAGTTTTTTTTTTTAATTTGTGAATCACAAGAGGTATAAGCAAAGTATATTTCTGACTGGTATCTGTAAGCTCTTCAGGTTCAGAAGAGTTCCAAAACTACTACTACGATTTGCTTATGCATACTGTCTCATGAAGTAAAACAAGGGTTTATTGAAATGCCTGCATTCAGGTGGTTACATTTTATGAAACAGTGCCAGCTCATATTCATCAGTAGCTGTTTCTTAGCTTAGAAACTAAGATGTATCTTCCTGTTTAGGCTAAATTAAAATTGTATCAATGCTGCTGAAAAGCAGCAGCAGAACTTTGTAGAAAACTGCACAAAGTGGAAGTAGTACACATTTTTTCTGGGAAAACTTGAGAATACAGGCTGGAAAAAGATTCTCTCTATGTTGTTAGGATGTACAAGTAAACTTTCTTTTAAAAGAAAGGATCCAGTATCCAAGGGTGCGGAAGCAAATGATCACATTGAGTAAGTCTAAATTGTGGCTCTGTGAGGAAGTTCTGGGAGGACTTGTAAGAGAAGCATCGTTTTGGATGGGTGGAATGGAACTAAGTTTGGTGAATTAGCAGAGAAGTGGGTTAGTGTGTCCTTTGCTCAGGAAAAAAAAACACCACAGTGTGCTAATTGCCATCTTTAATACAAGCTGTATGGAAGTCTGTCTGGAAATTGCATTCTTCCTTAACAAACTGCTGTTTCACAGAGCTGGTTTTTCTGTGCTCATGTTTTTGCATAGGCAGGAGCAGGAAGTAGGGCAAGCAGATGTGTAAGTACAAAAGTAAAGGCAGAAACAAGTAGCACCCTCCACGCCCGGGGCGGGGGGGGAGAAGGTAGGTGTCCAAAAATCACGGAGGTTTTGGGTGCTGACTGGAATGGTAAACCAGCTTCCTGTTGTTTGATTTACAAAGTGCTAAGAAATGGGAGTTAGTGTTTGTTCTTTTGGAGTAAGTACAACTGTCTCCAAGAGATACTTCACTCCATTCATGTCTTTACCCAGTGACGATAACTTGCAAGGACCTAAGTATTGGCTAGCTGCTGAGCTGAAGTGGCTTGCAGTTTATAACATTAATGATCATAATAATACACATAGTGTGTTTTATATTTCCAGACTGTTGTGTTTGGGGAATTGCTATCTTAACTTCAGACTTCATCTCTCTTGCTTTTTTTTTTTTTGTCCATAACCCTTTGAAGCCAGAAGAACTGGGAATTTGTTCAATGCTAATATGATGTGAATTTATATTACATTGAATCTAAGAGTCGGTGGATAATGCTTTAAGGTAATTTTTAGTGTATGCTTGGACCCTGGATTTTTGCTTTCTGGTTTTTGTAAACTTTGTTTAAAAAGTGTGTGTATGTATATATTTGTGAGAGGACAGTGGTTTTATCGCTTAAGTTGTGTTCTTGCATAGGACTATATTTATTACAAAGAAAAGTAGAAAATTAAAATAGAAATTCATTTATAGCTCAAATCATAGATTTATAGCAAGTATAATTATAATCAATTGAATTTAATAGTATAAATGTAATCCATATATTAAAATTATAAAATAATACAAAATTGAAAGGAAAATTTTAACAAAATGTGACCTGTCAAGCTGAACAGCTCCTATGTGTAAAGATAGCTTCTCTTGTCTACATTAGGATTTTAATATATTATTTAACGTGCTTTTTAAGATATGGTACGTATTTATTCTTCCTTATACTAGTGTACATACAATCTAAACCAAAAAGTAAATGTCATTTTTAATGAGAGCAGTATGTTGTGTTGTCTTAGAGGGCATCACAGCTGATGAGCAAATTTTATGTGGTGTGATGATAAAATAGTCTTGCAAAGTACTGTAAAATAGCTACATCTTTAATATAGACAGGTCTTGAGTATGAAGAATGAGAACCTTCAAATGCTGCTTTGAATTATCCTCTTAGTTGAAAATAAGCTTATTATTTGGAAGGAGAAAAGAGGGAACACTTGGAAACTGTTTCTATTGAACAAAACTTCCGTAATATTAACAATGATGTAATTTCTCACCGTATTTCATCAATTGTCATGCATCTCCTCTTCTGTTTTTTTGTTTTGTTTGGTTTTTTTTTTAATCATTTTTTGCTCTGTGTCTCTTCTCCCTTGTTACAGTATGTGATTTTACCAAATACCTAAACAGACTAGCTGGTAAATCTGGAAAATAATTGGATTTATCTAATCCTTAATTTTAAAACGTTTTTGTACAGGTATGGAGGACTAGAGAGAACTGTTACGGTATCAGAAGCAAAATAAGCTTTCTTTTTTATATGTGTAGAAATATTAGCCTAATCAGATTATGTAATTTCAGGTAATCATAAATGAGAAATTTTCTCCTTTTTTCTTTTTGGGTTTTTTCCTTCCCCTCCATACATGATTCTAATTCTTGGTGTAAGAGAGAGACTACTTCACTTGTGCAGAGCTATGAGGCTAATCCTCCCACCTTTAAGATTCTGTGGTAGTTATTTTAAGTCTAATGAGGTTGTTGGGGCATGGCTTAATAGGCTGATTGTGTGCAGATGGCAGTTGCCTTGTCTTATTTTTATCTTCTAATTCTGTTGAATAGTACTATAGTGGAAGGAGTAAATATTTGTGTGATAAATGTAACAATTTTTGGAATTGCTCTCAGAATTTGAGAATACTTGTTGCCAGTGTTCTTGAATTTGCTTTCTTTTAAGAAACTTTTGATTTACTGTTTTAAATGTTTCTTTTGTCTCCAGGTTTTGAAAGTATTTTAGAAGGGCTTTATGGACCAAGGCTACGAAGAGACCTCAGTTTATTTGAAGGTAAATGAGCCAGCTTTTAGTGCAATGACCTTAATTTATTAGTTTTTATTTTATTTAAAGGTAGTTTAAAGTACATCTTGAATTCTAAAAAGGAAATCTTCAATTGTTTTTCTTTCTAATGTTTATTTCATCATGTTCTTGTCAATACTGTGCATAGGCAAAACACTAGGTAAAATGGTACCTTTGTTTTGTTCCTATGCAGGGAAATTTTGGATTAACTAAGCTTTCCTGAGAAGCTCTCATGAGAGAGATTTACTTTTCTGGAATACTGCATCTCCTACTTTGTGTTTTGGACAGCTTTTAGAAAGGGAAGACAAGCTGCTCAGCTTCCTATCGACGTTAATTGGGAAAAGGAAGGTAATGAATGCTAGTTTGGTTTTCTTGTAGTGGTCAAGAAAGCTTAAGCTTTTTATAGGGTTTTTTTATATCTTTTTATATATATAAATTAAGCTTTTTATTTTTATATTTGTTTGTATATATATCTATATTAAGTGTGTGTGTATATTAAAAAAAAAAAATTTCCATTACCCATATAAGACCTAGCCTTATTCCAAATGGGTTTGGTTTTGCTGGAATAGCTGTCAATAGCACCCGAGTCTTTAGTTAGTTAAGTATGAAATGATTTATCTGTCTTTAGCAAAAGCAGAGGATGAAAATCCAGCACAAAACTGCTTTGAAGTGTTGAAAGAAGTGCTCTGTCAAGTTCATTTTCATGGCTTTAAAAAAAATGTTCCTTCTGTTATCAAACCTTCAAAATGTTCCATTTCATTTCTTTACAATTGATTATCTGATAGTGTAATTTGTAAAGCGTGTAACTTATATACTGCTAGTACATGAGGCAGAGTGGCATATATTGTTTGTTTGCTTAGAATAGGTTTGGATTGATTGCTTTAACTTGGTTATGGTTTTGTCCTCTTATACTGTGCAAGCTCCTTGGACTGTGTCATATGCATAACACAATATTTTCAAGGGAAAGGGGGAGAACTTGAAATACTACTTTACTGATGTCTTAAGAATATTTTTTTACCACTTAATAAAGCTAAGCATGCCACTAGTCAGACTTAAAAAAAATTTAAGAAATGTGTAAATTTGTGTTAAAACTTATTTTCATGAGTAGTACTCCCATCTGCTGTGATAAACAAGCACATTACTGCTTTAAAAAGGGAACAGGGCTTTGTTATAATAGTGTATGGTATCTTTTTTTTTTTCTGGTTGTAATTCCAATGGGTTGCTATGTATTGGGCTTTACACTGATTAGTGGTTTAAAGCTTTATTATTCTTTTGCATCGAAGGGTTTACATTTTGAAAGAAAATTCAGGACATTTTTTTTTTTTGCTTTTGTGTAAGAAGGCAGAAAGTACCGAGCTAATGGCCAGAATATAAGCGTTACAGTTAAAGGAGCCTGATAGTGCACAATAAGGTGCTATATTGCTCCTTTAGAGTTCCTGTGTATATATATTTGAGCTGTCTTATGGGAAAAGTTTTAGCTTATTTGCCTCATGCTGTTGAAGATCTTGTAACCGTATGTATATATTTGAGCTGTCTTATGGGAAAAGTTTTAGCTTATTTGCCTCATGCTGTTGAAGATTTCTTGTAACCTATTTAAGATCTGCTCTTTCCATTGCTTGCAGAAGACCTTTGATATTTGATGCACCAGTGACTTTGTCCTGCAAATTAAATTCATGTTTATCTAAAATGTAAAGTTTTAAAACTTTTTTTTTTCCAATTCCCAAGAATGTCTGTCAGTAATGTGCCTGAATTTTTCAACAGTTGAAGCCTGTTTCCATGTTTAACACATTTGTAAAGTTGATTTTACTTCTGGAGCAACTGCAGAAGAGATGAAGGAGTGTTAGGTTGGGATGCCTACCTTACCCTTACTATTTTTGGTTCATTTTTATAGATATAGTATCTGTAACTTCAATAATCCCATTTGAAATTGCCACATTTTCTACAAACCCAGTAGAGGCAGACCTTATAGTATAGGATGCAAGGCTATTTCTCATTTGAAGTCTGAATTGCATTTTAAAGATTGATACAGAACTTGAGTGAAATTTGTTATAAATCTTTCCACTGTCATAATTTAAGTGCCAGATAATGAAACTAAGATACAAAGTAAATAATTTGCCTTAGTTAACAAAATATATGGTTGGTAGAATCAGAACCCAAGTTTTTAGACTCTTAGTGACATGCCTAAATCACTGCATCTTGTAAGGTGACCATTTTTCTCATCATAACCACTGAACCAGTACTGTTAACATGCAGCATTATGCCTCAGTAGCAAGAGTGTATGTTTCCTTGAACAAACATCAAGAGATTATATGGCTTTCTTATCCAGAAATGTGTGAGAATCAGCTGAAATACATGTCACTTAGAGAAAAAAATGCTATTGTATCTTACATGGTTGGTTTTATCTGTTGTTTATAACATAGAAAAAAAATTAATAATGTGCATAAAATGTAACATGACTATGTTAATTGATACATTCCCTCCTTAGTTCTGTCTTGAAATAGAATTTGATCTATAGAGAAAATTATTGTATTCTCTCAAAGTTGCTTGAGAGAATAACAAATTGTAATGACAAATTTAAATGGTAAAAGGTACACTTCAGTTTACTAGGTTCTCTTACTTTTCAAAGAAAATAACTTGTAAACCTCAGAAACTATCTTGCTGAGAAGCCAAACTACTTAAACTGAAATAGCCACCCATAACAATAGATAGCTACCTGAAGATGGAAGATTTTCTTCATTATCTTGAAATTCTTATATGGTGTATATGTAGGACTTACCTTGGGCTTGCTTAAATGGTTCTCGTCACTTCCATTATTCAGCACCAGGTTTTTTTCCTGACTGTTTTGGTAGTGCAGCTTCTGGTTGCAAAGGTGTCAAGTTCTGTATCTTGGCATCTGACCTTGGTCATGCTCTGAACCAGCTCCAGGCTTCTTGTGTCATTGAATCCTTAGGGCTTTCTAATCCTTTGCTTATACCCATTTTTAGCTAAGTAGATTCACATGTAAATTGTTATTCTTTACATTCTACTTATGGATATTTAGCGAAACTGTTAGAAAGCTTTTCTTCTAATCATCTGGCATGTGTGTATTTTCTTTTTTGGGATTATGTGCTGGGGTTCTATTCTTTTATGGACAGAGGAAAAACAGTGGGAGAAAAACAGCTCTCGTATTCTTTCTCTGCCAGGAAAAAAAACTATACAGGACGAAAGGTTTATTTGAGGATGTGTTTTATTTTTCCTTAGGTTGTTCTGGAATATTTGTTGATATATAAAGTAATGGAGTGAAAAATTGTATTAGAAACATGAATCTCTAATATCATTGAAGTTTTTATGAAATTAAAAAGATGAACATGATAAACACCTCAGATAGTCTAATGTACTTATAAGGAAGCAGTAGTGACATATAAAAAGGAAGGGGATGACTTGTCCAGAATTGTGACAAATAGCTGGAAAATTTATTGGGACGTTATTACAATAGTGCAGAAAATACTGGAAAGTAAGGGTTGAATTTTTTTAAGCTATCTCATATTTAGATTTACTAGGCAATTATTTCACATTTTAAGAGGTAAACATGGCATCTGTTCAGTACTACAGATGTCTGAATTGATTTGTTTAATTCGGCATGACTCCTTGGGAAAACTGGTTTGGGGAAACAGATATGAATGGCTTAAGGAATGAAGAAAGGTGGTAGTTTTTGTCAAAGTTCACCATTTTATTCTTAAAAAATGGAAATAAGTTTAACAGCTTTATACTAAATGACTTTGGTTTCAAGTAATAATCTGTACCATGCTTAGTATTAAAATGCTCTTTGCGCAGTCTTAACTTTTTCTCAGGGGCTGGCTAGTGTTGTAGATTGTCAGCAAATCTTTCATCAGCTGACCCCAAGCAAGATAAAATGGGGAGGGGAGATGATCATAATTCTAATGCAACTAAGAGAAAGTTTGTTCTGCTTAAAGTGCCATCTGTGCCTCTGATCTTTCTGAGACTATGGTTGTCTATCTCAGTATGTTCCCTGTGGTGGTGACCTGGGACTGTTGAATGCTTGGCATTTGGTATATCTGGTATACATCTGCTATCTGATGGCACTTCTGCTTAGCTCACTGGCACACTTAATATGTTATGTTGTACATGGTTTATACTTCTTTAGTAAATCTTACTAGATTTATACTTCTTTGAATAAATCTAGTGTTCTGCAGAGCTGATGCTTCTCAAGGTTTGCTTTTTTGGTGACACACAAGGATTGCTCTCTAGTTAGACTTTTAACAGTGGAACTTCAGGATTCCAAGGCAGAAGAATTTCTCTGACAATATAAAACCTGTCTTGGAGTTATGTGCAGAATCTCAATGTTCATAAGTAGATTTATTGTGGTTGCAAGGAAAACTATGAAAACATGAACTTGTTCTGAAACAATAGTGTGGGTTTTTTTCATCTGTGGACACCTTAAAGGAATAGCTCTAACAGGCTGGGACAGCTAGATTAATTCAGCAAAAATAACTCATTATCTTTTGTTACTGTCCAGTCAAGAAAAAATCCCATGTCTGTTTTTGATCATCAGCTGTCCAACTTGTCAAAACTGCTGGCTTGCATCCCTGGAAGCATATAACACGTTGTTAATACAGAATTCTGTTCTAAATTAGCATATTAGAGCTGAGTAAACTAGGTTTAAATAATAATACAGAGTTACTTGGGTTATGTTCGCACTCAAGAACCTCATTTTTTCAGATTCATTTTACTTCTGATGGTGCCTCTGTAACAATATATTTAAGAAAGAGTAAAAGCTCAGCACTTTGAAGAGGGGGAGTGGGGAAACAACCTTGCAGGCAGCAAGGTCAGAGGAGGAAGAGGGGAGAGGAGGAGGTGCTCTAGGCACTAGAGCAGAGATTCCCCTGCAACCCCTGGAGAGGACCATGGTGAAGCAGGTAGAACCTGCAGCCCATGGAGGACCACATCGGAACAGATATCCACACTGCAGCCCATGGAGGACCCCCCACTGGAGCAGGTGGAGATGCCCTGAAGGAAGCTACAGCCCATGGAGAGCCCATGCTGGAGCAGGCTCCTGGCAGGAATTGCAGCCCGTAGAGAGGAGCTCATGCAGGAGCAGGTTTTCTGGCAGGAACTGCAGGCCTGTGGAGCAGTCTCTTCCTGAAGGACTGTGCCCTGTGGAAAAGACATATGCTAGAGCAGTTTGTGAAGAGCTACAGCTGTGGGAAGGACCCACACTGGAGCAGTTCATGAAGGCCTGTAGCCCGTGGGAAGGACCCCACGCTGGAGCAGGGGAAAAATGTGAGGAGGAAGGAGCGGCAGAGAGGAACTGTTATGAACTGAGGACAGCCCCTCTTCCCCATCCTCCTTGTGCTCTTTGGGGTGGGGGAGGAGGTAGAAGAGTCAGGATTGAAGGAGTGAAGTTGAAACCTGGGAAGAAGGGGTGGTAAGGTGGTTTTAGTTTTGCATTTCTCATTATGCAAATCTGTTTTTATCAGCAATAAACGAAATTAGTTTTCCCCAAGTTGAGTCTGGCTAGCCTGTGACAGTAATTGGTAAGTGATATCCCTGTCTTTATCTTGACCCACAAGTTTTTCCATCTTACTTTCTCCCCCTGCCCTGTCAAGGAGGAGGAGTGAGAGAGCGACTGGGTGGGGGTTGACAGCCAGGCAAGGTCGACCTACCACAGTGAAAGCAGATAATCTCAAGAACCTCCCTAACAGAACTGTGATTATAATTCAGTGGTATGGAGAAAAGGAGGAAACATATTTGGTAATTAATAAGGGGGGGAGGGGAGTTGTTTAGGTTGTAAGCGCATGAGCTGGAAATGAACAGGATGGAGAGGACCTTGGGTGTTGTAGTTAATCAGGTTTGTATTCACCTGCCAAAATGCTGCAGCTGTGATAGACTCATGCACAACTAGGATACTGTAGGAAAAGTAGTGTCTACAGTTTAAGGAAGTTTGGTGTAAATGTAAAAGAAAGGCATCATCTTGTGATCTTGGTCACCCGTGTTCAGGAAAAAGGTGTTCAAGTTGAGAATGGTGCAGAAAAGATGGGGTTGAATCTCATGAGAGAAAACCGGGTGGATTAGATTAGCCTAAGCAAAATGAAGTGTAAAGAGGGGATAATGATGTTCTCTGTAAATACATCAAGGTGCTAAGTATCTAAACAGTTATTGTTTGTGAGTATAAGAACAATGTTGTCACAAAAGCAAACTGGAATAACTTGCCGTGAGTAAATTTAAACAAGAAATTAGGAGGTTAATTTTGACTATTAGCCCAGTTGGCTTGGGAAAAGCTTTAAAGCAATTGGTGGTTCGGGAAGAGAAGAGTATGTGGTGGAAAACGCAACTTCTGAAATGGAGCTTAATAACTTGTTTAAAGAAAATAGATGGCGTGTCTCCATTCGGTAGAAGGCTGGACTTGAGATAGGTGATCTGTTTAAGTCCTATATTCCCTCAAGACCAAAGTACGTCTTCTGATAAAACATACAAAGTTACTTTAAAGTTTTCTAAATAAATCAAATGCTACAAGTGAGTATAGGGTTTTGATTTACCTGTAGTGATGGTATCAAATCAATTAAAATATTGTAAGTACAACACATGTAGCTCAAATGGCGAGAAGTCCATATCCTAATTCCTAGCCTAGTTTACTACAATTTTGCACACCTTTTGTTGAAAGGAATGATGACTGGAATTCAGAACGTTATTTACAGTATTCAGATGTCTCTAGTAACTGTCATAGGTAATCAATTGAAATGTATGAGTTTACCTTTCCTTTTAAGACAGGTGCCCTCTGCTATTTGAAAGTTGAGCCATGTGAGCCAGACAAGACTTTGGAAATATCTGAAGAATTGAATACTACTGACTACATTGTACCAATAAATTCATGTTAGATTATGATAGAATTTATTTAAGAGAATTGTAGGATGTGTATTTTGTTCTCAAAATCCACTTTTATTTGTTTAAAACATCTAGCTTTTTTCTTCTTTTAAGACTGTGAGCCAGAAGAGCTAACTGACTGGTCTATGGATGAGAAATGTTCCTTTTGTAATTTACACAAAGAAACAGTCAGTGTAAGTATGAACATGATATCAAGCATGACTCCCCAACACCCATTTTTTTTGTATGAAAGTAAGAATCAGAGAATTGATACTGCATTTTGACTCAAGATAGTTTGGCTATGAGAGAGAGTGAGGTGGTTTGGCTTTATAGTAAAATATCTTTTTAGTGGTTCTTTTTCACTCAATAGCTCAATAATTTAATTGTATTTTGTACTACCAGTAGACTAACTTCTGAAAGATGTTATAATCTTCATATGTTTTCTAGGATCGTGCATCAGTTACCGGTTCTTCACAGTCAACACCTACAGAGGAACTGTCATCTCAGGGCCAGTCCAACACTGATAAGATTGAATGCCAAGCAGAAAACTATCTAAATGCACTCTTTCGAAAGAAAGGTAATAAAACCATGTCTTTTATATTGAGAGATATGACACAAATCTAGAAGAATCGAATGATTTAGGGTTGATTTTGATTCTTAAGTAGTTTTTATTTATCTACTGAATGCTGTTTCTCTTCTCTATTCCTTCGATTTTCCTCAGTCTTTTTCTTTGCTTACTTGAATCACAAATGAAGCACTACTCTTCCTACTTGCCATTGCCGTTAGTCCTATCACATTGTGTGTTGTTCTCTTTAATCCCTGTTCATTATATTTTATAGTTGGTTGGGGTTTTTTACCATGAGCTGCTACTTTGTTTTCATGCCAACTTCAGGTGCCATTCTCTGGAATTTTAGGCATTTAAATATTTTCTGTTCCTAAACTTTCACTTCTAGTTTTCAGCAGGAAGACCATTTCAGGTGAGAGAATGTGTCTTACAGATTGCAAAATGGGATTTGGGATCTTCTTGCACAAAAGCTGCTACTTCAAATACATCCAAGTCAGAGGTTGAAACTTCTTGTCAAAATATAGTATTTAGTAACTCATTAATTCTTTGGCTACCCTTGTTCTTTGGCACTCAGCAAGTTATAGCAGTGCATGAGTGACTGACAAGTCAGCTTGGTTCGTACAAGTTACTTACCTAGTCACTGTCAACAGCAGCAAAAATACTCATTTTCTTCCTTAAATTTCTGTGTAAAGAATGTGAATGCAGCCCTACTCAGTAACTACAACTTTCACAGGTTTTTCTTGGATTTATTAGGTGTACTTGGATGTCAAAATAGCTGAGTGTGACTAGGGTGACGGCCCTCTCATGCTCTAACAAAGAATTAGAGAGAGTCAGACACGTTGTCTTCCTTCATATAGGTGGGAGAAAAAAACAAAGTTAATATTATCCCCTTGACATTGCTGTAGCAGGAAGAGATTACTCTGCCCTTGAATCTGCGGTGAGTGGAATCTTTTTCTGTACGGGGTATCTGTCTGTTCAGCCTATGTTCTGCTTAAGGCTTTAAAGAACTTTAAATGGAGTGCAACAGCATTTTGAGTCCATCTTCATTCCTTGGCTTTCTTTAAAACCAACTATTTTCCATTCGAAATAAAATGCCTAGTGAAGTTGCCACCTCATTACTTCTGAAATTCTTACTATATTTTCATCACAGGCCCAGTTGCATGGCATCTCCCTAGGCAGGTATTTTAATTCCTTCAAATTTCTACTTCCTCAGATCTTTTCTTGGTCTTGACATACAGTGTTTTTCAACATTCGCCTGCTTTCTGCTTCTGCTGGAGATGCTGTCTTTTGATACTCCTTGAGAGGAACTTTTATCATGCGAGAAGTGAAACTTGGCATAACCTCACCTTACTGGAGTGAGTGACTTCTGTGAAGTTTTTCACAAAGAGCATTTGGCTTTTAGCATCTTCCTTAGGTTTTTTGATCTGCCAGATCAGTAATGCTAGGTTAAAAAGGTTTTGTCTATTGAAAAACAAAACCAAAGTCTCTTCCGATTGTGATTCTCTGAAGGACTTGTGTATTCTTGGGTAAGAGGTACTTTGCTGAAGAGTTTTCGAAGAATATTGCTTCAGTTCAGGTTCCAGCAAGGTCTCTTAAATTGTTCAAGTTATGCGAAGTGAAAAGGGAAAAAAAAGGAAAAAAAATTCTGTGTTAGCAAAAGGGCATGTGAAACCAATTTATGAGGTATTTAAGTAATTGTCTTGGCTTTGTAGGAGGAAGATGAAGAGTTTTACTAGGAAAATCCCAAGTCTGCTTTCTGAATTTTTGCAGGTTTTTGAGATCAGTTATCAACTTAGAAAAAAGTAATAAAAAAAATTCAAGTAATTGTTTAGCTAAGGAACAGTTCTTATACCTGGTACTAAAACAGATGCCCTTTCATTGTCAAAAAAAAAAAGTAGAATTCTTGGTTGGCTGTCTTTAAAATGGAAGTAACACTTGTTTCATTTGTTTTGATTGCAGGCTCCTCAAGATCATATACTGTCTCTTACTATCATAACTAGCACAGTTTCATTTAGGGCCTCTGTGAACAACTTCCAAGACTAGTGAGCAAATTTGAGAGTTGTGTTTATTGGTCTCATTATCCTTTTATTTTAGAACAAGTTAGTATATGGCTGGGTTTCTTAATTTGCAGACTGGTTTTTGGTGTTTTGGTTTTGGGTCTGGGTTTTTTTGACATCAGAAAACTAGTTCAGAAGATCTCGAAATGTGCAGCCATATTATATCATTGTCTACAGCACACAACCTTCAGGCATTCATAGATGAGGATTTGCCTGTAGAATCTCAGACAATGATGATGACTCTTTCCTTTTAAGAGGATGATAGAATTACTGCCAAGATGGGTAAACATTTGAGAGGCTATAAGTAACAAAGTCTCCCTATTAGGAACCTATCTTCATGATGTGTTTGTGAAAGATCAGTTTGGTAGGTAGTTGTCTGTAGGAAAGTCCTGTCCTCGGCAGACACCTCAGTAAAGCCGAAGTAATTTTTGTCATCAAACTTTGTTTCCATTAAACTATATATCTGAAACCCAGATGCTTTCTTCCTAAGTATGTGATCTCTCCATTTGGTGGTGTAAGCAGAGTAGACTATGATACTTTTCCACTTACATAACACTAAAATATATCCATTTTCTTTTGTCAAAGAAGCAGTTACAAGGAAAAACCATGATGCACTTTAAAAAAAATACATATTAGTCTTTTCTTTTTCACTATGAATATTATAGAATGTGGCATATGTGATCATCATTACATGGCAGAACCATAGTTGTTTAAGAGCTTGATCAGACATTTTGACTGTGGATTATTAACTTTCTGGGTTTCTAGTGATCCACACTGCATGGAAAAAAAAGCTTCCAAGAACATACAATATTAATGTGACCTCTTTAAACAAAAACAAAAAAAAAAAGAAAAGGTCATTTAAATACATTCACAGTTGTGAATCTGGTTCTATCTTCAGGACATGATCCACCTGGAGAAGATAAAAACCTGAAAAGCTTTTGTAGAAATTAAGGAATTGAGGCACAAAATCAGACGGAGAAAATGGTCAGGATGACCTGAGTCTTTCCAGATTCTCTGGGCAGTTCTGTCAAGTATCTTCAGTGCTGTGTTTTCCATACCAAAATAATTTCCCTGTAAGCTTTTTGAAGTTCTTCCTTGTTTCTAGGCCACCTGGAGAAGATAAAAACCTGAAAAGCTTTTGTAGAAATTAAGGAATTGAGGCACAAAATCAGACGGAGAAAATGGTCAGGATGACCTGAGTCTTTCCAGATTCTCTGGGCAGTTCTGTCAAGTATCTTCAGTGCTGTGTTTTCCATACCAAAATAATTTCCCTGTAAGCTTTTTGAAGTTCTTCCTTGTTTCTAGGTATCTAAAATATTTCCTTTCAAAACTATGGCTTTCTTACACCATACCATGTACCTCCATTTAACTCTGAGTCCTCCTGTTCTTTGTTTAGTTATATCTCAGAGATACGTAGATGTCACGAGCTGGTTATGCTTGTTGAACAGTGTATATTATTTGGCAAACCTATGAAAATGTAATCTTGCACACATAATCTCTGACTACAAAAAAAGTGTTACTTTCTGAGGTGTAGTTTTGAGATGTACACACTGCTTGATCCAATACCTGCAGTTCCTTTTTATTAATAATTTTAAGAAATCTAATTTGTCCTTTCAAAATCTGAGAGGTTTTCTGTAAGAACTGAGAACTCTGTCACAGCTTGTGCAGTAAATTTTTGTGACACCCTTGCTATCCCTCTTCCTCAAGTTCATCAGGAAAGAATGTTTAGCAGCATTTCAGCTGCTTTCTCAAGGAAGTAAAACATACTTTTTGTGTTGCCTGCCTGCCAGTGTTACTGTCTTCACTGTCTTCTGAATTTCTTGGTAATTTTCAACTACGTTTAAGAAAATCCTTAGATATGACTGTATGTAGAGTAATGAAAATTACCATCTGAGGAAGGAAAAATGTTGAATGTTTACAAAAACAGAAAACTAGAGTGAACTTGGCCCTTATTCCTTCTGTTTGTTGATCGGCCAAGTTAAGTAACTAAACTAATCATGATACATGGCTCAGAATAAATTGCCCTATTCTGTTTTTAACCTGCTGGTGATCTGACATGAGCTGGACAAGTTTATGGGTAGAGTTAAGAATATTGCTGGGACAGTTTGGCTGTTGAGGTAGGGTCGTTCTAGAAAACATGGCCTTTTGTTAAAAGGGGAGATCTGGAGTGAATACAGGAAACACGCTGATAAGCAACCAGGTGTTCTTAGTTCTGCTACTCACACAACAGGATTGTAAGGTGCAAGGGGGGTTGTGTGAATCCCCTGCTGATTTCCACTGCCTTTTGGTATTGTATCAGAAGAGAAATTAAGTCACTAGTTTGACTTTTTAATGAAAAAAATACCGGTTTTCAAGAAACAGAATACTATTGTGGAGCACTATTCTGGGAGCTTTTAACTCCTTGTCTATTGTCCTGCCAAATATACATGTAAGTCTGAACTATTAGTTATCAGTCGTTACTTTGTGCATTGCAGTCTAATGATCACACATAGTGTCAATGTACAGAATAGTTAAGAATATGGATTTGAATAGTTACAAGGTGGTGCAGTACATAAACTGAGGAAGTCTTAATCCTAAATGTGAGCTTTGAATTAAAATAAATCATTGCAATTAGTCATAATTACACATCATCGTTATTACTGCCTTCTCTTGCATTCTGACTGTAATCTTGACAATCACAAGTAGAAAATACCAGATTCTATCATACAAACGTGTCATTTAGCCTTCTGTTATCCTAATAATATCAGGAGGTCTACAGTGATCTGAGAGAAACTAGAGGAACATCAGAGCTACCTTTTACTCCAAATCCTTAGAGACTGTTCTGCTGGGTTTGAACTAGTATGTATGTACGTACATACATGATCCAAGGAGTAAATAGAGCTGCCTTGTGTTTTAAATCAACTATGTGAAAAACAGAAGTTTAAACAGATGTAGGCATGTAGATTTAAAACTTTGTAAGTAGCTATAATCATGACTCCTAATAAAAGATCTTAGAATAAAAACTTTTTAGGTCATACAAAGTATATCTGGTGCCATCTGCTGATAATAATTAAGAAATATTTGCTAGTGATACTAAGCTCAGAGACCTAATACTTTTCTTACCCCAAAATACATTAAATTGCATCTAAAAATTTTATATGACTAATTACAAATTTCCCATGTGTAGTGAAACTTTACCACTGTGAACTTAAAATTACAGGTCTCTACATGTTTTCATTGCATACTTGTATAACAATGCAGACTTACAGCCGTTGAATGTAAGTAATTAGACTTTTATATAATACACTTCAAGTGCGTGTACCCTATTCTGGTCACTCAGGAGTCTTATATTAATAAAACATTATATAAAAGTTGCATTTACCCTTAAAAAGTCTATTTTCTTTCAAAGATCTACAGTGTGAAAAAAGAAAATAGTATATGAAACTATATAACTTTTTCTTCTTTCTTTTGAATATCTAATATCTAATTTCTGTATAATATGGAGAGTTGTGGGAAATTATTTCTAACTTCAAAATACTCTAAATTAATTCTTCCTCATAATACAAGTTATGCATCCACAACTTCATCCTCCATTAGGAAGCAAAGCAGCATTAATAAGAATGGATCAAGAGCAGCTTTCCAGTACCTCTGAGGAGGTTACTGAGAAGACAGGGTCAAACTCTTTACAATGGTGCATAGCAGGACAATAGAAGATTTACAGACAAATTGAAATGAGAAGTTCTTTTTTATGTAAGGAAAAATGAGGACAGGCAAGCAGTGGAACAGGCTACCCAGAGAGGTTGTACAGTCTCCATCCATGGAAGTATTCAAGACCTAACTGGATAAAACCCAGAGCAACCTGATTTGATCTCATAGTTGACCCTGCTTTGAGCAGGCAGTTTTACTAGAGACCTCCCAAGGTCCTTCCAACATGAGTGACAATTTAATGACTTACACAATAGAACAGTCGATACTGAAGATGTGATAGCGACACTATTTGCATTTATGGCAGTTAAGCTTAGACTAACTGTGGTCTAACCCTGTAGATTGAATATGCGTTAGCAGCAAGAGCACTTCAGATGCACCCCTGGAGCACATCTTCCAGATTATATGCTCTGAGATACCATTGGTTTTTTTCCCCCCTCCTAGTACTACCTTTTTAGAATAAATTAACTTAAAATCTGTAAACTGCCAGTAGCTGTAGCAGTTGAATATATGAGAAATTTTGCTGCATTTATTCTTCCATAGGGAGTATTTGGAAATTATTAGAAAAAAAAATAAAATTAATACTAAGGAAAATATTATAAGAGCAAAAAAAAAAAAATCCTTTGTTATTCCAACTAGGTCAGAAGATGACTTTGCTTCTAATGGAAAAGCAGGCTTCTCCTGCAAGTGTCTGAAAGCAATTCATGCTTGGATATTACCAGTGTGAAGAGTCTAAAATGGAATAGAAAGGCAATAGAAACTTGGCGGTTCTGAAGGAGTTTTGTCTTGCAGTTTTATAATAATTGATGCTGGGGATGGTGATTTATAAGCAGAAATTTATTCTAGGCTGTTGTGTTTTCCAGCTAATGGTAGGCATCCTCTGTGCTCTATGATCTTTTGCTTTTTAAAGGCACAGATCATACCAGGATGTAAAATAACTCTTTCCCATTTGCACTGATGATCGCCTGTTCTCCAAAAATCTTCCAAGTTTTTCTTGCGTGCATGCAACAAACTAATTTCTCTGAGCAGGGTCGTTCCAGACCAGATATCTGGTAGGCAATTCAGTGTTGGTGATGTTTCATATATTTTATTTTGTATGAGTTTCTTGAATACTGGCTGTCAAATTTTTGTTTGCTTGTGTTTGAGTTTGCTTTGTTTGCTGGTTGTTTTGTTTGGGTTTTTTTTTTAAGCTAAGCTACTGATCAGTAGTTTTCATTGTCTAGAGCTACAATTCCCCTGTCATGCAGACGCTTAGTTTTGTTCCTAGATAATTCAGTTTTTCAATTCCATCTCTTAATTTTCCTTGTTCTTCTGTTATTTTTTGCATATACATTAGCATATTTACACCTGTTGCCTTACTGCTTCAATATCTTTTGTTGAATTTTTTTCTTTCCTTGTAAGTGTGTCTCTAGGATGATAAAATTCCAGTTGAATATTTACTGGATTCATTATTTAGGAATCGGGAATCAGGAAGTACCAATAGACAAAGAATACTTGTGCCTGGGTGTTACATGATGGGGAGAGATCTTTTTCTTTGTAGTTACCCTCCATCACTTAGAATTTCACCTCATGCCTTTCCTCTAGAAACTTCTATCGATTTTAGAAATTTTGGTATAGATCTGGTTGAAAGATTATCAGAAGATAGAGCTTCAACTATAAGCAGACTTGTTTTGTCATGCCTTGGATAAGGTCTCTTGAAGCCAAGATGTCTAGCATATACTCAGTCTTTGAAAATGTTGGAGCTTCACCTTACCTCATAAAGCATTACTGAAGGGCCAACCAAAAGATATTGACAAGAAGCATCTGAACAGTCAGCTGCCCTCTTGTATGCTTTAGACGGCAGATCGCATATGTGCATGTTTGTAATTCCTTGCAATACTCTGTTGGTGAAAATGAATTCTCAAAATGGAATATGTTTTGAATAAACCTGAAACAAAACAAAAAAATCTTCTACGCATTCATCCTAAACTTGAGCAGCATTCTTTGATCTGTCTCAGTGGTCGCTGTCTTGCTAGTAGATGGATAAAACTTCACTGGCATAAAATGCTTGAGCAAATATGCTGTGTGATCCTCCAAACTACCTATTAGGAAATTTACAGTTTGCATGCAAACATCTACCCGATCCAGTCCTTTCAGTTTCGCCACTTCCATGAAAGCAAAACTCAATTTATTGTCTGTCTTAATCTGTTTCAGACTAATTTAAGTATCCCAATAACTGCCACCGTGTCCTTTGGCATTTCTTTCAGGCAATCAAGGCTGACCTAAAAGCTAATTCTTCTGTACCACATTCACACTTACTTTAAATCTTTAAATCTCTGTCCCTTCTTGATGAAATCTGTTTCACTCATTACCTGTGAACTCAAGGAAGGGCGGTGGTTAAAACATTGAAAAGGATGTTGTTGTTTTGTGTGTGTGTAGAGTTGAAGGAAAGAAGGAAGAGTGGGATAGTGAAATGAGTACTACTGCTGCCACTTTAAGGAAGAACATAGATCTTTGAGTATGGGCAGTCGTGCTTGTCTTGTGAAATGAAGTATTGCAGTCATCAATGCAGTATTGCATTGATGAGTAACACAGCTTACTTTAAGTGAGTTTCTTAATTACATTGTTATTTATGCTGAGTTACTTATCTTTATTTTGTTGATCTTTCTGGTATTTCTATTTATATTACAATTCTTTTTTCAGTGATTCACAAATGTGATTTCAGCTATGCTTGTTAATAAGAGGTTTAACTTTTTTCTAGCTGACAGATAATATTAAAATAGTCATAGGTATCTCATGTTTGATCCTGTTATTATTTTTGTGTTTTTAAAATGAAATGCTTCTTTCCATGGGACTGTTACATACACAAACAAAAAATAGGGTACATACAGTTTAGAATAGGAAATAAAGCTTTTCTCCCAAATGTTTTCATTGATAGCACTTTGAAAATGTCCTGGAAATGTCCTGAAAATCCTGTAAGATTTTTGAAATAAAAATTTACAACTTTATTGTAAAATTCAATTGTTTGTATTGCTACAATTTGTATGGGACATTTCAAGTATCATCGTATCAGTTTTGACATTGCAGTCCTGAATCTACAATGGGAATTATAATCTAATATATAGGTGAAAAAATTTTTTTCTTTTTTTAAGATCAGCTCTTCAAAAGTCCAGCTGTTCTGTATTTTGAAAAGGACTAATCTATGGAACTGCACTTTAAAATTAATTATTTTTGTTATAGTTGTTTTTTGAAAGTAACTTCTTTATGTATGAATTCATAGCTTTATTTAACTTTCACTTTTTATTCAGAATTCTTATTTTCAAAACTGAAAATGAACAGTCTGCAAATGAAAATTCAGCTTATTTACCAACAATAAATACAGATTCTGACTCCCATACTTGCATGATTTATCTACCCACATAGTTTTACTTGCATGCTGTGACAGAAGAATAAGGTAAAATTTACTGATGTGTGCTAAACATGTTCTTCCAAGTGACCTCCAGTTAGGAATGCTCATAAGAAAAACTTACTAGACATCTGAATTAATGTTCATTACACATGTACTTATTACACACATTTATTGTGCTTATAGGAAGTATTTGTCTAAAGAAAAGTAATTAAGTTTGGTTTTTTAAATACATCTGTTGCCTATGTTGTTGTTTTTTTATTCCTAGATCTTCCTCAGAACTGTGATCCTAACATTCCCTTAGTTGCTCAGGAATTAATGAAAAAAATGATCCGTCAGTTTGCAATTGAGTACATTTCAAAAAGTAGCAAAATTCAAGAGAACAGAAATGGTTCATCGTTTGAACCAACTCTGATATGTAAAAGTATCCAAATGAACCAAACGGAAAACTCCCTTCAGGAAGAACAGGATAGCCCTCTAGACCTCACTGTGAATCGAACTCAAGAACAGAATACTCAGCAAGGTAAATTTCTATATCTGTTTATCTGTGTTTTGCTGTCATTTATTACATCTTATTCCCTTAAAAAAATAAATGTCTGTGCCAACTATCTATATGTTTTGTCTTTCCAAAGTAGTAAACAGTGTATAGGAAAAAAAAATTACCCTATATAATTAAAATGAGGTTGAAGGAAAATTGGCATTGCATCAACTTAACACTTAAAGAAAACTCGTACATTTTCACAGTGTATAGGAAAAAAAAATTACCCTATATAATTAAAATGAGGTTGAAGGAAAATTGGCATTGCATCAACTTAACACTTAAAGAAAACTCGTACATTTTCCTTTAAACCCCAGGAAAAATGTTAAGAGAACTTAAAAAAAAACAAACCAACACATAAAAAAAAAAAAAAAAAACAAACCAACACATTCTTTAAGAAACGTTTTTCATATTGTGTGTTAGCAGATAAATATTCTCATTTCTGAGTGCCTGCGTTAAATAAGTGGCATTGGAATTTCTCAGCTTTAGAATACAGAATCTAAGTTACCTTACTTGTGGCAGTCACAGGTAACAGTGGTTCAAGAAATGGCTGTTAAGAAGCCTTCTGAGAAAAGAGAAAGATACTGGAATTTCAGAGAGCAAAGGTCATTCTGTCTATGTCAGCCCTTGGACACTTTGATTCTTTAAATACAGACTGGTTAGAACGATGGAAAGAGAAGATGAATTTGGGAGGAAATTTCCACGCTTCATGCTTTGTTACAGATCAGTGCAACTTTCTTAATTGAGAGTAAAGCTAGAAAAAGAAAAATGAAGTCTGTCTCACTAACATTAACAAAGAGGAAATAATTTCTTTGCCTCAAGGAATATTGCCATCCAAAACTGATAACAGTATAATCACAAGAGTGTTTTGGACTTTGAACTTGATTTGGATTAGCATCAATTTTCAGGAAGGATTGTGACTGTCATGTGCAACTGAAAGCAGTGGCAAAAGCAGCTTTTGCCTTTTACAGATACAAGGGTCCATGTTAATCCAATAATACTGCAGATCAAAGGGAAAAGTTTACCTGTATACCGTACTAAAAAAGTTAAAAGAAGGTAGAACTGCAGAATTAAATTTTTAAAAAAATATAAATTAGTCAGAATGAAAGCAGATTTCGTATGTGTGCTTAATGATGCAGTCTTCAATTAGATGATGCATCCTTTGGGGGGAACTCTGACATGGATTTATCTTGCTAACCATGCCTATTCTAGATCAAATTTTAAGCATCCTTTCTCTTTGACAGCAGAAGCATTAAGAAATGGTGGAATTCCTGCTTTCATTCTGCATGGTCAGCAGAAACCAGTTCATGCCTGGGTTTAGCGAATACCTTGTGCAGATTAAATCCTGAGAAAATCTCTCTTGTGCTTTGACATACCTCTGCTATGTATGAATTACAGATTTTAGAGATCTATAGTTGGCCAGGTTGAAGCACATTTCTTTTGCAAGGGCAATAAAAAGTACTTTCCTGATATCAGCACTATAGCCTGTTCCTTACTTCAACAGCTGGTTATAAAGAATAACTAGTTTAAAATGTCCATGAGGGAGCAAAGTCCCCAAAGACAGGTTCTAGTTCTCGCTGAGCCCAAATAAATCTTTGAGGAATGAAAGGAAAGGCAGAGGGTGGACGGGTCAGGAACAGGAAGAAAGTTCTGCTGTACCCTCAGCTATTTGAAAATCCATTGATCTTTTGTCCAAGAAAAACTTAAAGTATAGAGACATTGAGATATTTAAATCTTTTTTTGTATAATTTGAATTTTTCTCATAATGAGGCTAAATGGCAAGTTTAGAATTGTGCGTCTTCAGCAAAACATCTGAGGCTAAAATAGTTGCTAAACATACATAGTTTACTATGTAAAACTTTTATACTGTGTAAGATATTGTAGATTCTCAGAACTTACGCTGTCGTGTTTGCTGGAGTGCTTTGCAGATGTTAAAGATACTAGTCTTGCTGTGAAGTTTAGAGCTACTGAAATGAGAGGAAGTATTGAAACAAGACTGTAGCTGAAGAAAGGTTTCAAGCTATCTTATCTTATCTATGAGGGAAGTTGTATTGCGTTTCCCATTTGCCATGAACGTACCAATTTTGAGGTATCTTAGCTTTCCACTGTAGTGGTAGTAACACAAGCAAATAAGATCAAGATGGAAAAACTCAGCCTGCTCTTTTTTTATTTGCATGGTGTTCTAGGTGCAATGATTCATGAAAAGTTCTTTCAATTAGCTGTTGTCAGGGACTATGTAGTATTATTCTACCTACCCCTCGCTTCTGTCCTTTTCCTGAAGAAAGCTTGATTATATTGAAGTTTTACATGCTTACAGTAGGGAATTGTGAAATTTTTTAATTGGATTATTTTTAAAAATGTATTATTCTGTGTCTAACATAGTATACTTCAGTCTGGAGACTCGTAAAAGCTATACCATGGTTCTCTCCTTAGTAGTGTCTTTTAAATGTCATGCGACTCTTTATTATTTGCTATTTGTATTTCCTTTTACAATTTCCAAATGAAGTGGCAGTAACAGAGTAGGAAGTTCAAATTTGTACATTGCTCTGACGGATCCTCAAAGTTGAAGTCTTTTTAATTCAAATCCTGTGAAGCAGATAATGACCTAAATATAAATACTTCAGGTTCATTTTCTGTTTAGACAGGTGCTTTGTATTTACAGTAGTCATCTTCAAAATGAATGATCTAAATACCAAAACAGACAGTCTTGTTCCTTTACTATGGCAGTGATTCTTGGACTTAAGTTGAGAGGAAGGAGTAAGCTTTATTTTCCAGATCGCTAGAAGCATTTTTTTGCACTGAGCAGATCCAAGCTAAGTGCTAGCTCAATACTGAAAAAAGATTCTGCCACTGAAGATGTCTGGATGATCTTATCCTCATTTAAGAAAGCTTCTTACCTTCCTCCAGTATCTGCAGGCCATCTCTGAAGTACTCCCAAAATATTCAGGTCTGACACTTTCAGACCTGATACCCCTGTGTATTAGGTTTACATGGCAAGGTTTTGGTAGTTGGGGGAGGGCTGCAGGGGTGGCATCTATGAGAAGAGGTCAGGGGCTGCCCTGCGCTAGGCACAGCCATCTCTGCACAGACTCGCAACAGGCCAAAGTGGAGCACATCAGTGAGGTTTGTGGTGCATCTGTGAAAACATATTTAAGAAAGAGCAAAAATGCTGGACAGGCAGAAGAGAAACAGCAGGGCGAACAACAAGGTCAGAGAAGGAGCGGGAGGAGCCACTCCAGGCACCAGAGCAGGTATTTCCCTGCAGCACATGAAGACGACCACGGTGGAGCAGGTATTCCCCTGCAGCCCATGGAAGAGACCACTCTGGAGCAGATATTCATGCTGCAGCCCATGGAAGACCCCATGTTGGAGCAGCTGGATATTTCCTGAAGGAACTACAGCCTGTGGAGAACCCACAATGGAGCAGGGGAAAAGTGTGAGGAGGAAGGAGCTGTAGAGAGGAATTGTACTGACTGTAACCGCCACTCCCAATCCTGCCTGTGCCACCTGGGGATGGGGGAGAGAGGTAGAGGAGTTGGGAGTGAAGTTGAGCCTGGGTAAAGGTGGAGTGGGGAGGTGCTTTAATTTTTGTCTTTCTCATTTTCCAAATCTATTTTAATTTGCAATAAATTAATTTTCCCCAAGTCTGTTTTGCCTGTGATGGTAACTGGTAAGTGATCTCCCTGTATTTATCTTGATGACCTTTTTCATCTTATTTCTCCCCGCCCCCCCCTGTTGAGGAGGTGGAGTGAGAGAGTGGCTGGGTGGGGGTCTAGCTACTGACCAAGGTCAACCCATTGCACCTCTGGTACTGAATCATTCAGTACTGAGTATTTATAGCACTGGCACCTACATATGTCCAGCTGGCACCTGGCTGATAGCAGAGTTCCCAGTTACGCTCTGCTTTCTTCTACATGTGGAAGTGTGGTAACTTAGCAGTTAACTGTGCACCTTGCTGGTAACTAACACCAGAAATACCTGTATCTTGCTCTTTTTTTCCTAATCCATGTAACTAAGACTGTCCAGGCCTTGAAAAGAATACTCTGTATAGTGAAAGAAAATTTGTTTTGCGTGCACTGTATCTAACAAAAATAGGGTGGTATTGTGTATTTTTGCAATATTACTTGTCCTCCAAACTAGGCTGATGAAACAGCAGCATCCTTGCAGAATAAAACATCGAGTGAGGAACAGTCTTGGAATATCCTGCAGCAACTTACTATTTACGTGTGCAGTCATGATGCTGAGCTCTTTGGGGAGTGTTCCCAGCAGCAGCTAACTTTGATGCAGAGGCTTCTTTCCATTAATAGATATGGGAGAGTTGATCACTCTCAAGCTGCTAAGCAAAGTGACTTACAAGAGGCAGAAGTCTAAGCTATGCAAATAAATAATGTTAGTTTAGCTACACAAGCTTATTCTTGCTGCTGTGTCTTCTAGGAACAATGAGAGTGTGTAAACATAGCAGAAAAATGCAAAAGAATTTGCATAGATTTCCTTGTTTCATTGATCCATTATAGATGGGAAGACATCAGAAGGTAGCTGGCAGTGTGTGACATTTTGCTGTGTGAACTTCTTACAGCTATCCTGTAGCTTTGTCGTTCTTGGCTAATATTGAAGAAGTAGGAAAAATAAGGATAATCCAAGTAAAAAATTCTGTTTAAATTATTTAAAATAGCATTTTATTATCCAGTTTAACAATGTGCATGTGATTTCACCAAAATTTGTAGCAAAATAAAGACTTCTGAATAATGGACCAGAATTTGGAAACAACTCAACTTTTGAAAAGTGGTTTCATATCTCTTGAAAATCCACACTGAAGTTAGTACAGCAACTGGGATCACAGCATGTGTGGCCTCTTGATTGCTATATGGCTATTGAAAGAATTCCAAACATTACTGAAAATAACCTTTTATTTTCTTAATATACCCTTCTTACCATATGTATAGGGGAAAAATACTATGCTTTTTGAAGGTACACATGCTATGTTCCCAAAGATAACTTGTATGAGCTGTAAACATATTCAAGGAAGTTTAATACTTCTGCATGAAAAGGTCACCCTGAAAAGGTACATTTTTGAGGCGAATAGGTGTTTATTTCTTCCTTGGCTACTATGGTGGCTAACAGCCAAGCTCCTTGTCAGATGCTCGCTTGCTTGCTTCCCTCTCAATGGCACAGGTGAGAAAATGGGAAGAACAGGAAGGAGAGCTCAAGAGTTGAGATAAGGACATGGTCATTGCTTACCGCTTGCCATCATGGGCAAAACAGACTCTGCTTGGGGAAAATTAACTTAAATTATTGCCTACAGAATAAATATTTAATTATTAATTCAGGTACTAGAAACAAAAAGACACATTACAACACCCCTTTTCCTCCCCCCTTTCTCAGGCTCAGCTTCACTCCAGATGCCCTTGTGACCACCACCACCCCTGTGGTACAAAGGGAATGGGTGCAGGGTGTCCACAGTCTGTACCTAATGGTTTCTCTCTGCCATTTCCCTCTGCCATTCGGCTTCCCTCTGCTGTTTTCTCATTCTTTTTGTTCCCTCTTTCTCTATTTGGCACTTTTTGCCCTTTCTTAAATATATGTTCCCGAACACTCCCCACAAGAGGCTGCTGGGCTCAGCTGTGCCCTTCAGTGGGTCTGTTGGAACCAGCTAGAACCATCTGTGTCTGGCACGGCCTCTCCTCACAGATGCTGTCAAGACCTTGCTATGGACACCCAATATATAGCTATATACTTTTCATCTGGCAGTTTTTCACTTTACAAAATAGCCTATCGGGTCAGCAAAAAGGGGCTAGTCAAAGCAGTAGTTAAGAATTAGTAAAAGGCTTTGGCGTTCTTACTGACAGTTCTCTGAAAACATTGTTTCCATGTGCAGCAGCACAGAAAATAGCCAGCAAAAGGCAAAGCATTATGAGGAAAGGTATTGAAGACAAGACAGTGTCATTTTGTTGCTATGAAAAACCTTATCAAGGTTTACCACAGTATGATGGATAAGGTAAAGAGAGAGGTTATTTACTAAATCTCACAATATTAGAAATAGGTAGGGCTTGCTGAAAATTCTTAGAAGGGAAAAACAGCTAAGGGGCACCTTTTGCACAGCAGTATGTGAACATCAGGAACTGCTGTGTCAGGAGGTTATGGAGATGCACAGTGACACTGGGTTCAAAAAAGACCTTTGACAACTTCCTGGCTAACAGAACCAAGACTAGAAACTAAAGCTAGAGTAGGCAGGGATGTACCTCGGAGATCCCTAATCCAATGACAGCATCTACTGGGAGAGCAGGAGAGGAATGAGCTGCAGGTAGTGGCCAGGCTGATGTGCTCTTCCACTCTAGGAGTGGAGTTTTTCCCACGCCTGGAGACAGAGGACTGAGTAGAGTAGGTTGTCTGACCTAGTAAGGCAGTTCATAATAGCTAGTGAGAGGTTTCCTGAAACCCAGAAAAAACCAGAGAAGTTTGCTAGAATTAGTACAGAAATACCAGTTGTAGGAACTCAAGGGTGACCCATACAGTTTCTGTTACTTGCTCTTCCCCCCACCCCGTTTCTCTAACATCGCTAGTCTGGAGGAGTTTCAAGTGATTGTGGTCCTGGTTATTTTGAAGATGACATTTGATCACGCTTAGCTATATTTTGGTATTGCTGCACCTGATGACCTGGTGCTGAGAAGTAAAGGCCAGAGGTTGAGCCATTTCTTTGAAGATCAAAATCATTTAATTTGCACAGAAATAACTTCCTAAAAGACCATGAGCAGCAGACCTGAAAAACTTCTAATGATTTTTTTTCTGTATTATCTAGTGTTACATAGTACTGTTTATGAAGACTGCTGTCTTAGTAGTCATGGCTTCAGCTAAAGAGTGGAAGTAATTCCATGTCTTTTATTAAAACCACCTTACAGAGTGGTTTTTCTGTTCCTGATGTCATTCAGTTCCTGTCCAGAATTCTTGCCGAAATACTTATTTTGTGTGATTTGATAGAAATAATAGAAAGTTCTGGCTCAGTTTAAAAAAACCCTATTCCTACCTTGCAAGTAACAGGTTTTCAAGGTTCATTGTCCACCTGTAGGATGCCTCTTTGGAAACTTTTTGGTCTTGTACCTAATGAACCAAAGTGAACGTCTCTACTGTGTATATATATGTACATTCATTTAATTAGGTAGCATTTCATTATGTCTTAAAGCTTTATAGCAAATGCTGTCACTTTCCTGCTAATTGTACATGCTCCTTCATTATAATAATAATAATTGATACTGTTACAAAGCAGGAATATCTACCAAAACCAGGAGCTACTGTGTATTTTTAATGAATCTTTTTGACTTATAAGCCCTTTCTGCATCAATTTTGGGGGTTTTGTGGTGTTTGGTGTATTGGGTTTTTTGTTTGGGGGGGAGGTGTCTTTGAGTGAAATCACTGAATAAAAGCCTGGTGTGTGGTGACTTTATCTGGTATTTTGTATCTGGTATATCAAATTTCTTGCATGGTTCTCTTTCACTCTTTTTATTAAGGATCATTTTCCCATAAAGCATTGTCTTCAGAGAGGTGTCATATACTTAACAAATACATTTGCTGTGTTGGAGGAACCGACTGTCTTGAACCTGAAATGACTCTTCAGTTCTACTTACCCTTTAGAGGCCCAAAATGTATCTAATTTTTTGTTTCAGGAGCCTGCATTTTCAGCACTGTCTTCTTTTTAGCCGTTTTTCAACTTACTGGTGGCCTTGTGTTGTCAAAGCCAGTTCTGAAAAATTGGAAATGAAAATTATTTTGGTTAGATTTTGTTATGGAATTTTGTGAGTGTCTTCGGGTTTTGTTTGTTGGGGTTTTTTTTCCCTAAAAATCCTAGTTAGCTTCTATTTTTTGTGTAGTTTGAATAGAGATGATTAGCTCTTCATAACTTGATGAGTTGTGAACTTTGAAGTAGTTTTTTCTCCAGTGACTTTGTCCAGTGATCTCTTCTAAACTTTTTTTATCATAGTGCCTATGAATATCAACTGAAGATGGAGAAACTGTTGTGAAAGGGAACACACAAACACTTAGGAAAGGGAGATGTACTTTGTATGACTGACAGAACACAATAGATGAAATCTGTCTGTTGCACAGGACTCAGGGACATTGCGAGCTTAGATATTCAGGATACTTTACAGCTGGGTAGGCCAAATAGTCCCTGTAGAATATTTCTGTAGTGTTTTTAATTGGCTTTTCCTTCTGGAATATCACTGCATCAGAAAGGTTGATTAACATTAACTAGTCCTTCCTTTAACTTTCTTAGGGTTAAGGAAGACTTTGAAAGGAACATATTCAGGAGAAAAGGAGCATCTTTGACAAGTGGCATATTTATAAATATTTTTTCCCTTTATGCTGACTTATGATGCTACTTTTTCTCTCTTTACCCTTCTTCAAATAATACAAAGTAGTTGGGCAAAACCAGTAAAAAATTGTTAAAAACAGTCCAAAACAAATAGCTGGATTTGATTATTACACAAAACTCTATTTCTTTGCAGTATTGGTATAAAGGAGAGTTACCCTACCAATTTTTCTGACTTCTTATTTGAGTGTTGGCATTTGTACTATTCAGCCAATGCTTCATGTCTGCATCTGAGGCTGTGGGAAAATGTATAGAGTTGATTGCTGGTTTAGAAATAATACGCAGTAACATGAAAATGACACTAATGTAAAAAAGGACTAGCACAAGGTTGCTTGTAGAGTTGAATGTTGAGCTACATGTTGAAACTCAAAATTGGATTCGCAGAGCTCAGGCACACAAAACAGCCCAAGTTTGAAACAGAGAACCAAGGAAGAAAGGTATGACATTAAATATATTTAGGGGATTTATCTATAATTTAAATGTGATTTTTTTTAAAAAACCAAAACTTAAACTAGAAGGAGTTTTCAGGTGCTAATTAGTTTCTTTAATTTTCAATGTTCTTAAATATTGATTTAAAAACATGGTTTTCTATTTCAATACTTCATAGACTTCAACAGCCAACTATAAATCTTGAATTTAACATTTGCCAGTGACTTAACAGAGCGGACTCCCACCCCAGTTTAGGTCTTTCCATTTCTCTAGTTTCATTATTAAATATATGTGGGGGCGGCAGGGGGAATATGTATAAACAAACTGTTAGAACCTTTAATGACATGGGTCTCATATACTTAAAACTCTGTATTGGGCTCGAGCTGTCTTCCCAGTTACTGGGGTACTACTTTCTCATCCAGTAACCTGGTCTGGTCTCATAGCTGACCCTGCTCTGAGCGGGAGGTTGGTCTAGAGACCTCCTGAGATCCCTAGTAGCCTGAATTATCCTATAAGCCTATGATTTAGTTACGTCTGTTTTAACTTCAGTATCGGGCTTGTTTGTTTACAGTATGTAAATACGAATACATGAATAATAATAATCATAATAATATCAAGTGCATTGCTTTGGTTGCCTTGAAAGTAAACAGTGCAATATATACGCATACACGATTTTTAGGAAAGCAGTCACATGTTTCTGTTTAAGACAGGTTCTTCTTTTAAATTTTATTATTTCTGAATGGGTTTATTTTTTGTTTTTTCTTAATTTTAAAAAGTTTTGTTACAAATCAAAGACCTAAAACCATTTGCTGGCGGCTGACATTGTTAAAGGAATAACATGTCAGAAATCTTACAAGATAAAGTAACTGCTTAAAAATTGTGCCATAGGTACAAACATTTGCTAACAATTTCTGAGATCATCCTTAAACAACTGCTATCATCGCTACTTGTTCTTTGCAGGGGATGGAGTGCTAGATCTCTCTACAAAGAAAAGCGCAAGGTTGGAAGAACCAAAATATGATCCATTGTGTTCTGAAAACTCAGTGTCTGGGTAAGCAACGTTTAGGACTCTCTTCGGCTTATATAAAAGACAATCCAGGTTTCTCTTCTCTGAAGTCAGGTTTTATGTTCATAACATATTTGTATATACTGACACACACATGTGGTTCCTATTTTGCTTTCAGAAGAATTTTTGTCACTCATAAGTGTGTGTCTATGTATATATCATATGTTTCATTTGTCTTTTGCCTTTTTTTCTGTTTAAAGAAAAGTTATCAGAACAATCACCAAACTTTAGTTCATGTTACTAAAATGAACTGAAAATTGATTACGTAACACCTTAAAAGTAATAGGATAGTAGAAGAAAATGTAAATATATTCTTTCAGAGTTTATTTAGGAAACTTCAATTTTGGACAAAAATGACCATGTTAATATTTAGATTTAAAATATTCTTCAACTGACATGAACAAGTTAAATGACTATTATCTATAATATTCCTTAATAAGAGAGAGAGAGAGCAAGCGCGCGTGAGAGAGAGAGAGCTCTTAATCATCATACTTATACTTACATCATGGTTCTGACTATGGTGTGTGGTGGCAAATGGTTAAATTTCTTTATTCAGCAAGAAAAACGTTATTGCATCTGCTGAAAGCTACCACAAAACTAGTGAAATGCATTGTTTTGTTGGATTTTGTTATGAACTTGGCATCCTCCCATCCACTAGCCATAGCAGGACCCTTTTTGTCACCTGTACGTCTTACCAAATAACTTATTACAAATAGGACTGCAATAGCAGTATTTGTTGAATGATGTAAAATTGCATTTTATTAATTTGCTGATATGAAGAAGTTTTAAAATGAATATGACTTTGTAATTAGAGAGCTGTAAATAGTGGCTAGAAGTTTTTAAAACTGTGTTTTATTTTGCCAAAATGGACTTGATTGTTAACTACAGCACTTTATCTTACTGTTGTAGAAAGCCTAGTTTTGTGTAAGTCTGGGATGTTTGTGTGTAGTTATGTATTTATTGCTGCAATTTTTCTATGAGGGGGTTGACTCTTTTATTACTTGTTTAGCGGTAACGTCACGTTTCTACTAACAAAAACTTCAGGATTTGGGTATTTAATGGGACGTTAATTGTATAAGTAAAATTATAACAGTGTTGCTCTGCAAGCATGTGAACAAGGGAATATAGCAAGCACATAAGAATATTATCAAATACTGAGCTAGGATATAAAGTTCTTGGAAGGGCTGCTGTAGAAGCCACCGTATGATTTTTGACGCACTGTCCTACCAGAACTGTAACATTTTGCTAGGATAATCATTTAACTACCACATCTCAAAGGCTTAAAAGTATCAGAAGCAGTGATGTTACCGAAGCAAGGAGTATAATAAAGGAGTGGACCCTTCCCTTCCATAGCTGTGTGAGAGTCTCTCATACATCAGTTTACCATCGTTTCATTCCATCCATCCAGGAGACTACACAGACACAGAGAGGACTATGTGGAAAGAAGTGCTGAGTTTGCAGATGGTTTGCTCTCAAAAGCTTTGAAAGACATTCAGTCTGGAGCACTGGACATAAATAAAGCAGGCATACTTTATGGCATACCTCAAAAAACTTTACTTCTCCACTTAGAAGCCTTACCAGCAGGAAAGCCTGCACCTTTTAAAAGCAAAACTCGAGATTTCAATGATAGTTATTCATTTAAAGACAGTAAAGAAACTTGTGCAGTCCTACAAAAAGTAGCCTTGTGGGCAAGAGCTCAAGCAGAGCGCACAGAAAAAAGTAAACTCAGTCTACTTGAAACCTCAGAATTAAAATTCCCAACAGCTTCCAGTTACCTCCACCAGTTAACTCTACAGAGAATGGTCACTCAATTTAAAGAAAAAAGTGAAAATCTACAATATGAAACTTCAAGTCCTACTGTACAATTAAAAATTCCTCAGCTAAGAATAAGTTCTGTGTCCAAACCACAGTCTGATACTGCTGGTCTTCTGGATGTTATGTACCACGTTTCTAAAACCTCCTCAGTTTTAGAAGGATCAGCTCTTCAAAAATTGAAAAATATACTCCCTAAACAGAACAAAATTGAATGTTCTGGACCTGTAACTCACTCAAGTGTTGACTCCTACTTTCTGCATGGGGACCTCTCTCCTTTGTGTCTTAATGCTAAGAATGGGACAGTAGATGGAACCTCAGAAAATACAGAAGATAGTTTGGATCGTAAAGATAATAAACAACCAAGAAAAAAACGTGGCCGCTATCGGCAGTATGATCATGAAATAATGGAAGAAGCAATTGCAATGGTAATGAGTGGGAAAATGAGTGTTTCCAAAGCACAAGGAATTTATGGGGTACCTCACAGCACTTTAGAATATAAAGTAAAAGAAAGATCTGGAACATTGAAGACTCCACCGAAGAAGAAACTCCGATTACCAGATACTGGCTTATTTAATATGACAGATTCAGGGACTGGCAGCTGCAAAAATAATAGCAAGCCTGTGTAGAATAATTGTTAGCGAATTGTTTTGTGTGTGTGTATGTATGTCTGTATACACACACTGTGTGAGAAATACATATGCTCACTCTTGACAGAAGACGCGAAAATATACAGTTCAAAAACCACATACATGCCTTTTGAAAAATAGTTTTATTCAGGGTTTTCACTGTGGACAGAATTATAGAGTTGCTCACTTAATTCTGATAGTGTGTATTTAATATAATCCTTGTATAAATAGGTGAAAAGATTCAGGTTTTATTTAGTAGTCAATAGCATAAAGATGTTTTGGAAAAACAAGTATTTGTCATGTGAAGCATAATTTTTAATTGGTGAAGAACCACTCTACCCATTCAATACTCCATCTTATTATGGAAATACACAACCAAGGGTTAGCAGACTTTTATACTTCAGAGAATACTTGCAATAAATTGTAAGTAACTCAGATTGTACAAATCAAGGGATTTTTTTTAAAAAGCTAGTTCCTTACAAGGAAGTGGATTTGTGAAGTATTAGTAGGATATAGTACATTCTGTGAAAGAAAAAAGTTCATCGTTACTTAAATATCCAATACAAGTAAGAAAAACATTTCATTACTAAAAATGTGTGTTTAGCAGGCATAAACTGCATTTTTTTATCATTTTATGAAACCTGAGAAATTACTGTTGTTACAGAATTATTAAATATGAAATAAGATGGAATACTAAGAGCCTAAAATAATTTAAACTTTAACATAATTTTCCTTTTTAGTTTGACAAGTAAGGTAACTTGTAAGGTTTAAAAAGAAAGTTGGAATGCAACTTAGAGCATGTTGATAATGTGCACAGAATGAGCTTGAGAATGGTTTGGGTTTGTTTGGTTTTTTTGTTTAAATGTGCTGGTTAGTTGATGTTATGACTACTTAAAATTTATTTAAGGATTGTGTCACACTCCTATTGAAAAACCTCACTGTAACTGTAATGTATTTGCTGCTGTGACATTTCAAAACATTTTCAGTTTATCAAAATGAATACCAAGTTACATTATCATTTTGCTAATAACCAAATTTGCAGTTCAGGGTCTTGATAGAAATACAAATATTAAACAGTGAAGCTGTTTTGAACTTTCAATAATATAAATTCTTTATAAATTTGGTAGTTAGAAGTTAGGCAGTTCACTTTAAATACGTAACTTTTAATAGAATTTAAGGGAGACCAATTACCTTCATATTGCAGTTTTTACATGAATTTCAAAGTATTCGCATTGGACTTTATATCATACTTAATTTTTTTGTGTAATATCACAAAGTATATGTCTACATATGAAGAATGGGGGCTTGCTTCATACATTCAATACTGAACATCAATGCCCTTTTCCTCTCAAAGTGTAATTTTTTTCTGCATGCATCTAATTTGGCATAGAAAAAGACTTTTCTCCAACTTTTATACATTTGATGCACGTGCATACATTTTTTTCCCACTTAAAGTTGCATGTGTATAGGTTAATTATATAAATGAAACGGGACATTAGATACATATGGGCTACATCAGGTAATTTGATTTATAGATAAACTTGCCATTAAATTCAGTGGAGAGCATACTGCAATATTGATGGCAAAATCTAGCCCATATTTATTAACGCTACTAAAAAATAACAACTTCCATTTTAAAACAGAATAATCCTTTGAAACTGCACAACCAGTGTCTCAGTTCTTTGGTCTCTCAGATCTATACTGAATCTTCTTCAGTGATTAAGGTTTACTTGCATATTACAGAATGAATCCTTTTTTTAAGCAGAACTGTACCTGATACAAGGAGGTCACAAAACAGCAGATGTCAGGGTCATCTTTCATTTTAAAAGAATTAAGCCATATTTTGTGAGGGCCAGAAGGATTAATTTGTTAATATATCCCCACTGAAAAATGAAGTTGAAAAAACCTTAAATGTTTCAAGATCTGTCTTTATACAGTTTTACTTGCAAAAATTTTGGGCTTCAATACATTGCCTAATATTTGTACCATACTGATGTTTTCTACTCCTCAGACAATGTTATAAATTTGAGCCAGAAGTTTATATTGAAGGCAAGTTACAATACTCTTTTTATATCATTTAAAAGATGACCTGACCAAAAAATTAACAGGATTCATAAAATCAGGGATCATTTTACTATTGACTTAACAGTACTCAGTAATTTTGTATGTAATATTATAATTAATTTTCAACATTTTAGTACTTGTATTTATTTTTTGGTCAGAAATAGTATATTAAAATATTTTTTGATAGTTTATAGATGATACTCAACCTGTAAGTGTTTAAAGGAACAGAATTATTTGTTTCTAATTATTAGGCTAACCTTTGATTACACAACTAAGGAAAGGCAGGGAAATGTGTAGATTCTCCGTCCCCAACCCCTATGTATTCCATTAAATGTCATTTAAATTACACATTTTGAACTGTTTTATAAATTCAGTTACCAGTCACTACTTAGTAATTGACAATTTCAGAAAATTCCTGTTTCAGCAGAATTTTAAATGAAGGCGAAAGCAAGCCCTACATGCTTTCTACTTATTTGAATGTTTCTCAAGTATTTTATATTAAAAAACAGTGCCTCTGTTTTTAGAACTACTGCTCAGTAAAGCTGTTTAAACCATTTCTGGTAGCTAATGACAATTTTATATTAAATTGTATATTAACTTTAGTGAGACTGATTTTTTTAGTTGTTTACAGTACAAATACTTGTATTTGTTTTTTAATTGCAGTATTTCCATTGTCGCAGTAATTTAGTAAAACTCTGTGGCTGCCTTGATTTTTGACAGATTTTTGTTAACAACTGATTTTTAGGCAATTAGTTATATTTATGCATAAATCAATTGCACTATAATTCATGAATTATTTATTACAATATTTTCTAATGAATTCCATGTATTTGTCTTGTGTTGTAAATGTACTGTAATTCTGTTTCTTCTTTGTGTTGTTATATTCCTAAATCTGATTGTATGAATTTAATTGTTTAGTTAACGTGTTTCTACGTTGTAATTTGTAGTAAAGCACTTCAATGCTTTTGCACATAAATTTACAACACTGATGTGTGATTGATTTGCTCATTCAGTAAAAAAAAAAAAAGAAAAAAAAAAAACCCGGTACACTGACTCATTTGATTTACTCCTGAGGCACAAGTTTATTAGCAGTGGCATAAGATCAAGAACTGTACAAATTAAGCACATAATGACTAATTTACTATGAGAATTTTATATATTGGAAATAGTAGCTTTAAAGAAGAATGACTTCTCAGAATTGATGCATTTCTCATAAATGAGAAGTTCAGAAAACTCATTTTATAGCAGTTACATCCTTTAGTTTGCAGCTAAAAATTATCTATTATATATTACGGATAATACATAGCTTTTTTTGAGGGATTTATTTACTTACTAAAGTCAGAAAACAAACATTTCTATAAGACAAATTCATATTTCTATTACAGTTCTACGCTGTTTATATGAGTACTTGAAAGTATGTTCTGTTCCCAGTTTTGTTCCTGTTCCCAGTCTGCAAAGAAGTTGCTAGATTGATCTATCTTGTCTGTGGCTGAGACGACAGAGGATAGAAGGCTAGGGAAGGATATCTTTTGGGAGTCCTCTGATAGAGCTCTTTCCTGATAGCTTTTTGGATTTCTGGAGGAGGCAAATGTTTACTTTTTTATACATAAATAATACGCTGAAAGGCTAGTACTTAACCTTATCACGTCTCTGCCTTTGTGCCAATTTTGGACTCCAGTCAATCCCCTCTCCGTGGTATTAACTGCCCCTGCCCTCCAGCAGGGAAATAATGTCATTCCATGCTTAACTTTTGTCTTCAGAGATGTTATGCACAAAAGGTACTGGGGGAGCAGCGCATATTGATCCTCTCACCTCTCAACCCCTCTATTTCCTACCCACTCTCTCTAGCCATCTTTTTGAGTGTGATTTGTAGGAAGTGTAAGAGTGTTCTGTGAAGGAAGTATGCAATTGTGAAAGTGATAGCTCTTCCTTCTATGAAATTATTGTTTAAGCCTTTTTTCTTGAGGATAATGTAAACTACTGTGTGACAACACAAATTTAAAGGGCCATAGGAAGGAATTACAGGAAACTGAAATGTAATTCCATAATTGTATTGAAGAGCTACTAAAAATTAGTTTGTTTAAATATATGGACATCTCTACAGAGAGACACTTTAAAGAAAATGTGTTGCTTTAATGCTTTAATTTGTTTGCGTAGTAAGCTCTATTCCCAAATGGCGACCAAGTAAAGCGTCGATGTGTTTTCACAAACTTGGAAGATCATTTGGAGTGTGGTACTATTACAATAGCGTAGATGAAGTTAAGTTGTCTGTCAGCTTTAGAAACTAACACACGCTAAGGGAAAGCAGATTATAGATGTTACACAAGGGTAGATAACCAGGAAAGAAATCGTATTAGAAGAATGTCCAGTATGTCTGTGATAACCAGGATATTACTTTATACAACAGATTGATCTCCACATAGCCAATTCAAAGCAGTTTTGAGGCCTTTGGAAATTTTGGTTACTGACTTTGAGAAGGCTTTAGGGCTCTGGAAGTTTCTTCCACCAGTGAGCATATTTTAAATAGCAGTTATGGATATAGGTCCTCTACAATTAAAGCTCTCCAGTGAAACTCCATTAGACATACCTTGCAAGTCTAGACAGACAGAAACTTATCTGTCTAGAGATTCAGTCTAAAAAGACTGTACTATAGCCATCTCTTTAGCAAATTAGTACTTAACAAATTTACTGTGATTTACAAACAAAATATTGAAGACCTAGTGCTGTGTTCTTTTTTTTTTTTTTTTTTTTTTTTTTTTTTATCTGGCCTTTCAAAACATGATTTAATTAAAGCCATGGTGGTGGGGAGGGCAATTAGTTTTTATCTGTAATTGTAATATTAGAATAAGCTTTGTTTTCACAAGTGTAGTGGTACATTTCAACAGCTTGTGACTCCTGAGTTTGTTGGACTGAGTAACACTCAGACTCTTCTCAGTGAAGTGGCGTTTCAAAAAGTTAAATTCTGACAATGACATGCCCTTGAATAATGCTGTTTTTACTTTAGATTGCAAGTGCAAAGAGTTTTTTTTTTCTTTTAAGACTTCAATTATTGCCGAATTATTGCAGTTTAAACATAATCACAATTTCAGCTAGTACCATCACAATTATCTTATGCTTTAATGAGTTAGTATCATCCAGATGCTTGATTTTGAATATATACCGTTTCATACTAAATATTACAGGAGAAGGAAAAAACATGAGGAATTATTAAGCATAGTTGGCTGTTTTTAAGCTCTAATCTTTAAAATCCGTGTGGGACAATAAAAATACAGATTTGTATGTATAACTTCCAGTAAGAAACCTGAAGCTGAAAGTTATTATTGATGCTAGTAACATTGGGTATGAGCTAATTAATGAATAGGTAACTTTATATAAATACAGCACATTAAATTTTAAATATGTTTGTTCTTTGATCAATACAGTCATAAACCCAATCAAAATGAAATTTTTCCAAA